CTACATTTTATTCTATTTTAAATCAATCTTGAAAAAATGCTAAACCATGCATGTTCATTTTGTGAAAGAGAGTTCAGATGTTGTTCTTCACTACAAAATCATGTAAAAATTCATGACAATGTAGTTGATAAGATTTTACAAGAAATTCCTGAAAAAATGGAGTAAGAAATGAATACCTGTTGTGACAGGTAAAATTTTAAATAGATTTAATTAGTAGAATATGAAGTCAATTTTATTGCCATATAAATCTTCTATGAAGATCATTTTGTTCATTTTATTGCTATCGATCAATTATAAAAATCCTTAAATGTTAATTTTATTGCCTTTGATAATCACATAGATCATAGATGTCCATTTAGTTGCCTGCAAATCTGGCAATTTTATTAATACGACAACTTTATTGCCTAGCGAAATGGTAACTTTATTTTCTTTGATATATTTAGTTTAGTTTATTTTATTATTTATTCAACATGTATAAATATCTCTGTATTTTCTTTGAGTCTTAGCACTGACGAGATATTAATCTTTTAGGTACTGAACTTATATATTATATTAATAAAGAAGTATAATTAACCAAATATAAAACTTATCCTTCGCAAAACCCTTTGAAACTGTTATAAATTAATTGTGATCCTTTGCAGTCGTACAATTCCTTTTGTTAGTGAACTTATTATATGATATTGTATTAATTTGCTGTATTGACTTAGAGTCTCTAAAGCATAATCTCTGAAATATTTTTGAGTTATCTTTGTATTTATTTTGTATACCTCACGTAATTTATATTGAAAATAATTCTTCGATGTTATTGTGAATCCTCACCTATGATTCCTTGAGTAATAGTCTTAGTCTTATTTACTCTTTTGAGATTTTATTTGAAGTTACAAAACTATCATGATAACGTGAATGACTAATTGAAGTGATACCAAAAATAATAGGATTGATTTCAAAAATTAAATAATTAAGTATTAAACTTAATGCAATAGTATCTGATAGTGCGCCAGCATATGCTAGAACACAGTAAGTAATATTAAATAAAACTACTAATATTAATATTAATTTAAATCTTGAAAATTTAATATTTATTTAATATTTTAATAATAGGCGATGTCTTTGATTAGAATATCTGAAGATTATCTTTTTACCTTATTTTGCTTATCAATATTAATTAGCAATTAGTGATAATTTTAAAGAATTATCAAATTTAAAAACTGCATCTAGTAAAGCAATTACAGTTACTATTTATTTTAAAAATGCAAATAATAGTTATTTTATTGGTAAATTTCAGGATATTTAAAAAGAGTTATATGACCAATACTATTTAATTATAGTTTCTGGAGAAACAAGATAGAACAGTCATTATTTTTATTTTAAAAGTTTTATTCAGTCTAAATAAGCTTTACAAGTAAGTATAAAGTTTTTTTAATTAAAATTATTTATTAATAATACTTAATTTTTTTTATTTATAGAATTTAGCAATCCATTATGAATGTCTACCAGTTAGTTTATCAAATACTAATGAACTTTATTTGAATTTAGATCTTTGTTAAGTACTTCTTGATAATAATTGGTAGGAGATGTTTAACTTTTACAGGATATTTTATTACCATATTGTGGTATTTTAAACAAGCTTTAATGTGATAAAACATGTCTTTTTGAAGTACTTCATGCTCTTAGTTATTTTATTCAATTTTGAAAGGGATTTCTAAATTCAAATTTAGGTAATCATATGGTTAATCAATTGGAAAAAAGATGGAACTAATGGAAATAACTGTTGCTATTACTTTCTTTTTTACTCCATCCAAATATCATTTTAAATATTTCAATTTTAGACTTAATAATTTGTCATATTCTTATTTGAGACAGTATTTGACATACTATTATAAAGCATAGTTTAAAAGAAGACCATTACAACTATTATTAGAATATGAAGATTTTTGTTAAAAAGTTAAACTATTTAATAATAAAACTTCTTTAAATTTTGGTCTTATATAAAAAGTAGTTATAAAGAATTAGCTGCCGTTGCTTTAAAAATTTTTGGAATATGCATAAATGCACCTTCAGTTGAACAAATGTAGTTTTTTATAGGTTTTTACATACAGTTCGCTGTAATCGATTAACGGTAAATTTTCAGATTTTGTTTAATTTAATGGACTAATAATTTAATGAAATTTTTTATTTTTTATATTAATAATTTGGATTAATGCATGGATTTTTTATTTTTAATTAATTTGTTTATTTAACTAATTTATTTAATGGGTTTATTTATTAATGGTTAATTTAATGGATTTTTTGTTTATTTTTTATTAATTTGAATTTACGGGTTTTTATTTAACTAATTTGTTTAATGAGTTTATTTATTAATGGTTGATTTAATGGAATTTTTATTTATTTTTTTATTAATTTAGATTTACAGGTTTTTATTTAACTAATTTGTTTAACAGATTTATTTATTAATAGTTAATTTAACAAATTTTTATTATTAATGTGATTATTGTTTATTTTCTTAGATTAATTTGGTTTAACAGGTTCTTTAATGGATTTTTATTTGGCAGTTTTTTGTTTATTTAATTTTAATGGGTTTTATAATTCTATTTATTTGAAATTTTTTATATTTTATTTATTTATAATTTATTTAATTTATTTAATTTATAGAATAATAAAATGCTCAACTTCGTGTATCTATTAATTTCTTATTAAGAGAAAAAGAATTACAACAACATCAAATACAATTTTTGGATCCAAATACTAATCCAATTAAAATGGATTTTGAAAATTCTGAAATTCCTGCACCAAATTCAAATGATGATGACTGTAAAAATGATATTGAAGATGATGCTAACATTATTACTTCTGAACATTGGAAATAAGAATTGAGAGAATGGGAAGAAATGTTATTAGAAGAAGAATTAGCATAAAGAGAAGAAGAAGAAGCATTAAGAGATAATTCAAATAATAGCATGTAAGATGATTTTTTGAGTGAATATACACATCTAGCAATAGACAAAAAGGCAAAATGGGATCTTAAAAATTTATTTAGTACTTCTCTCAATACTTCTGATTACTTAATTGTAGCATCAAATAAATAAAGTTTAATAAAGATTATAATCGAATATTATTGGATAAAAAAAGTATCACGTGATAAAGTGCTTCCAATTTTCTAATAAATTTTTATTGGAATTGAAAGTAGCATTGGAATTGGAAGGATTGGAAGTCCAATGTACTTCCAATATTCCAGGAAACATTACTGCTCTACAGTATGTACAGGAGCATTAATATTTTGAAAAGTAAAGCTAATAATTTTACCAGGCTTTCTATAAAAGGTAATAAATGAGTATCTTACAAATTTTGTATACCGTGTCTCTTACCTTTACTTCTAGGGACCAAGCTTATTTTTAGCAAGATAATTACTGTGGGAATCCATTATTGTCCATCATTTTGAAATAAAAGGAACTGGATTTATCATTATCCAATTCTTCATTTCAGTATTTACACTTTTGACATCATTTTAAATAAAGGATTTTTTTCCAATTTTACCAAAAAAATATTTTTATGAAGCACACGTCTGACAGTACTATATATCTTATTTGAGTGAATTAAAATATTCAGTAATTTTCAAGGAATCTTTTCAATCTCACGAATAAGAGCTCGTTTTTCAAGCTCTGTTAAAAGAGGTGAGCTTTTTATGACACTCTGACAAGTAGTTCTGTTTATATTTAAATTTTAAAATGGTAGAAGCTCAGTGATTTCCCATGTTAAGTTCGACTATTATTCCGCGTTCAAAAACAGCTGGTTCTTATTACTTGCCATTTTTCAAAGAAAATCTGTGGTAAATATCTAAAAGCCAAAATTCTTTGATTTATTAAAGTATAGATAGGTTTGTTGGATTTACAGTATAATAAGGAAAAGGTTTACGCGTCGGATTTTGTTGATCTGCAAAGACTTTTGGTAGGGTGTGTGTACATTTATTTTGATCAGCAACAAGTAATTTATCATGGGATCTCCATATAGTTGCTGGAAAGACTCTCGGTAATCAACAGGTTTACTGGAAAAACTAAATTAAAATCTTATTGGAAAATTAAGCGATCATCAAAACTTTATTAAGCTTTAAGAACAAATCCGAAGTATAGGGTTTCGACATTTGCCATTTGCTAAAATGAGTTTAGCCAGACCAGACAAGCATTTAATCGAAAAGTGATTATTATCGTTATTGACAAGCCCTTATTCAATTATTGATATTAAATTAAATCGTTATTCATGAATGTTTGCACGTTTTACCAAAAAAAAAATATTCCATCATCAATTGAGGAGTATTTTTTGCTTATTGTGGGAACAATATCAAAAGAATCCAATCGTTTTCTCATGCTTGCGTTGGATGAGAGAGAAAAGATTGGTCGCTCGTAGAATCTGAATAATAATTTTTGCTTATTGTCTAGTTTATTTAACTTGTATTTTGACAATTTTTTTTAGAATGATAGATTTATAATTTTTACGTTCTTTCATTATACTTTATTATATTATATAATCCGACTGTTGTTTGAACTTCATACTTCAAACCTCTTATGTTAAAGTTCAAACCCAGGGTTTTTAAATCAAACCAAACTTAATTATTTGACTTATAATAACAAATACATTAAAGCAAAGAATTTTCGGCCGTTCCCATTCATTTATAAAAAGTATTTTACAAAATTGAACACAATATTGAAACTACAAAACAATAATATTGTTTAATAAATAATAGCTTTAAATATCAAATAGAAATATAAGCTATGAAATACGGGTAACTATTAAACTGCATGAAATACTTCATAATCATCTACGTTAAATGTATTAGGTATATTAAGGTTAGGATAATAAGTATTGGGTCTAGAAGTCCATTGTCCATTATTCGGAGACAAAATATCATTACCAAACAGTGGTCCATAATTATTGTTACAACATATAGCATATTGCTCGTTACCTTTAATTACTCTACCTAGTTTACCTGTTTCCACATCTCTATAATCATTAAAGACAAATATAAAACTATCTGACGTAGTTTTATAAATACCATGGCCATTCCAATCTAACGGATTATAACCTCCAACTATTTGATTGGAATCCTTAATTTTCGTGACAACAATAGTAGCCACTTTATCGTTACATTTATTATGAAATATATTTGTATCCATTCCGTCTCTACTAGCACGATAGAGCAATTTGAAATTATGATTATTTCTTGAATTATCACTTAAATCATCTTTCTTATCAATCCAATTGGCAAATATGGCAAAATGTTGAGGTTTAACTATAACGGAGTCAACTGAGCTATAATCATATTTTGGTTGTCTAGGAGGTAATATATCATCTTTTGATACACGGTTTGGAGTCATGTGAAATGCAAAAATGTTCTTGACCAAATCTTTTGGTAGCAATTTTTTAAAAGGATACACCTTGTCAAGAAAGTTTTCTGGCGTAATATAATAAAATCTCATTAACGGAATAAATCTATTAAGAGCCCTCTCTATGATAGTGAAGTCTTCCTTGCTCCATTTAGTAACGTCTTGTGGAATAGTAGGATTTTGTGCGAGACTC